CTGGTAGATTTGATGCTAAAAAAGATATTCAAAAACATGCTTTATGTTTATGTGTAAAAGTCACATGTATTAACAGTTTTATGTGTTGTAGTTAGTAACTATACATAAATCATACACAGATATAAACAGGATGTCATCTATGATGGGTAAAATGTTAATTACTTATAACTTTTATAGAAAACACACTTGAAAATGGCCGGACATCTCCATTTAGTCTTCTCTGGGAAAGACTACACAATGTACATCCCATAAAAAATGATTATGCATGTTCAGAGAACTAAAACAGCAAAGCTGGTGCTTCTGCCTCAGAATTATTGTGTAGGAGTAGCATTGAGACTGTTTTAAGTTTAGGTTCCAACTTTGTTGAGTCATCACTGGAATGCAAACCCAAAAATGAAGTGAATTAATAAGGATCTCAAAGCACATCCTGCACTTACAAACAGCCCGGTACAGAAATGATAACCCGGGGTTATGACATAGATCCATTTACAGCCACAAAGCAGATATTTTTTGATTGTTGGGCTGTATTATTGTTTTCTTTTTTTTTTCATCAGGAAAAACAGATGTCATCGGTCAAAACAACGTATGAATAACAGTCATTCCTCGTGACACCCCTCCAAATCAAATTTACAACCAGGCATCGCTTTACAACACCACGGTGGACAGAAAAGCATAGCAGGTCGAACAGGAAACATCTGGACTCGATCACGGTCTGTGCTGGTCTTTCACGTTTCCACCAAAGAGCAAAAACATCTGACCCAACTGTGCAAAGGCGAATAGAAGTGACTGCCAAAACAAGAAAAACAATGACGTTACCCTACCAAAAACCTTGAAAAATCAAGAATGGTTACCATTAAGACATAGCTTCAATGCTACTATGTCTTTCAACCCCTCCTTTACAGAAAAAACTGAAACATAAATATACATTTATTCAAAGGCAATACCCTCAGGCAGAAGGAGAAGAAAACTCCAAAAACCTTGGAGACAACAGCTCAGCCATCACTCGTGCACGCAACTGTTGAGAAAGCACTTTTTGTGCCATTAATGGAAAGACAAAATCTCCCAGGATTTTTTTTTGCAGATCTATTAGCTTATTACAGACCACACAAATAAAAAGTGACATCACATCAGATCTCAGTATTCGACTGGGAAATTGCTCAAATGTCATGCAGCATCTTTTTTCCAGACTTGGTGCGGACATCAGAGATTAGCTCATCCATGAGAAATCCCCAAAGAGGATCTCTGAACTTGATAGGTATTACAATAAAATGCTGTTCATAAATACAAATTACATCACCTTTGTCCTGCTTTGGGGACGAAACTCAAAGACGAGCAGCTTGCTTGAAGAGGGATTAATGTTTACAATTTTGAGAAGACGAGGACTACGTGAAGAACAAAAGCCAACAAAAGAAGAAGGCTTTCAAGGATTTGGTCAAGGTGTAATATTTTATTTGTACAAGAGGCTGGAATGGGAGGTGTGTCTTTGATTCTCTATGGGAGGTAAGCTAAGCCCTGGATCTCCACTCCTAAACTTGCTGCAACCCCAAGTGTTCCTAACCCAACGACCTCTTGGCAGGAGCACGGGGAATGTAGCTGATTCAGCTGAGGAAGGACTCCCTACAGCCAAGGCGTTCTTTGCTTCTGAACAGAGCTGAGAAAATGCTGCAATATTTGGCTGGTTTTTCTCATTACTTTCATTATTTGAGTCCCTACCCTCAAAAAAAGACTGTAACTTGATGCCATCATAAAAGAAATGCATGCTAATAAAACTTTATTTCTGCTTCAACATATGGGTGGAAGGATAATGAGTACGCACCCTGGAGCACTTCAAAGAAAAACACATTTCACCACTATACTTTGATTGATTATATATATATATATATATATATATCCAGATCTCTCTGTATTAAACTGCATAAACCTCAAGAACATGTGACCAAAAACTGACAACTTATGTTTTAGGGGTGTGCCAGTTTACCATTAAATCAATGCACCGCTATGTGGCGTGCCGATTAAATAATCAATTTGTTAATGTTCATAAACGCTTATAAATAAATGCTGAAAAACAGCCACAATGCGTGGCAGAAACATAAAAGTTAGGTAGTGCCACCCAGACGCTTTAGGAGGCTGATCAGTTGAAAAAAGAAAACAACAATGGCGGAAGATTGTTTACTAGCTTTGGCCATTGAGCATAAGATTTACTTGTCAGGATGAAAGTAAAGTTGTGTCACACTCCCAATATGTGACATCACCTTACACGTTTTTATCCCAGGTTAGATGAAGAGAAGAAGCCAGTGGTTGTTCCTTCTAACCAGCTAACAATCGAAGGAGGATTAACAATCTTTTCCGAAACTCTACCCTCTTTTATAATACTTTGGTGTTAGGCTGAGGCAGCAGCAGGGAGTATTTGGTCATTTATAAGTAGTGTTGGGAGTGACGACGTTTAAGTATAACGGCGTTACTAACGGCTTTCTTTTTTAGGTAACGGAATAATCTAATTATTTTTCCCACTGTTGCAACGCTGTTACCGTTACTGGGGACAGAAGGTTGTGCGTTACTATGTGCTTGTCAAACATTGAGCAACAGTGCGAGGTTTTCTGACCGCCACAATTCAGCTGCAACCAGGGAGAGAGGTGTCGGTAACGCACTTACAAACATGAAAATGATTGGCCAGGTGGGCGGAGACCCTCAGTGTTCTCACTGTCTCAGTCACTGCATGCTGTAGACACAACAGAGCAGTGATGGGAATAAAGTCGTTTAAAATAACCGCGTTACTAAAAAAAAAAAAAAATTTTTTCAGCAACGAGCAATCTAATTAATTACCGTCATCATTTATCAAAACGTCGTTTTTGTTACTGATAAGAAAATGCGTGCGTTAAGCTGTGCGGTGTGTTGAAGCTGTCATCAGCTGATCAGGAGCTAGAGAGGCAGATGTTTTCATCCAAGTGCATCATCACGGCCCGTGAAGAACGAGGAAGACGTGATGAATAGTCTACGGCTGCAGGTGTGGATCTGCAGCCGTGCCCTTCTTAGCGTGACAGTGGGACGTCCTGAAAGTCCGCTCACCTGTTCACCGCTCAGACGTCCTGATCTTCTACCTTCCTAGATCATCCAGCTGTAACCTGTTTCTGATCATGTCTTTAGTCCCGCTGTAACACTGATGCATCAGCCTCAGACGTCATGGAGCTCAGGTGTTATTAGAACTACCTGTGTGTGTTCACCACCCAGCTTCAGCTCTTCTGTGGTTGGGTCTGACCCAAGTTAGTAAATGTAAGTCCTCCATCAGGTTTGTGTCTCTTCTAGTGTCATTTTAAAGGATTTTAATTTATTTATTTAACCATTACTAGATTAGTAGCAACAGAAATGCTACTAAAAACACACAATTATGTGAAGCTGGAAAAATTCAAATACTGTGCAAATTTACATTTATTTCTGTAATTTAACTAGACTGAGAGACAATTTAAAGGGTCAGGAACCTTTACATGTGTTTTTATTTGCAATTTTAAATTTTTGCTGACTGGGCTCTTGTTAAATATCACACAGTGACCTTTTAATAGTCTAGATAAGTGTAATGTTCCTGTTAGTAGTTCCTCCTGTTAAGTGCTTATTTATTTAAATTATTCAAAAACATTTGGACATACATTTTATTATGTTCCAGTCATTAGTCATTTATATTTCACTATTGTAGTCATTTATAGTAAATTAAGTAAGTTTAATTAAGAGGGGAACCCATTTTTCTTGCATTCTTTAATGAAAAAGTAACTAAGTAGTTAATTTTCTTGGTAATTAGTTACTTTTATTATCTCGTAACTCGGTAAGTAACGGAGTTACTTTTTTGACAAAGTAATTAGAAACTATAACTAATTACTTTTTAAAAGTAATGTTCCCAACACTGTTTATAAGTGGTCGGCCTGTGGTGGTGATGTGGTGTGTTTTCACAAAGATTACACGATGGTGGTATAAAATAGGTGTGGGGGCTGTCTCCGTGCCATCATGGACTTCCCTTTAGCTTGAACATAACTTGTTTTTATGCCGATCGAAGCCATGCTCCTTAAGCTTTTTCATGAGCCAACCCCAGAAGGTGTCTGTGTCTTACAGTCCTATGTGAACTGTCTGGTGTTCTGAGCTTCAGATCTAAAGACCAGAAGCTCCACATCTCTGCATCGCTCCAGTTTGGTGTCTCAGCTGATTCTGTTTACAGAAGCAAAACTGGCTGCCTGTGTTTAGTTCATTTTCATTATTTATATTTACCCTGTAGATTTCATGCAACAGTACGCTGGGTAAGTCTTACATGAATAGGACAGTGGAGTAAAAGGTATTTGGTAACTTGAATTAATGTGTGCTGAATTACTCTGAAAGTATGAAAAAGCTATGACATGAGACAAATACTGTCAAATTGCGGGCAGAGACAGTTTGAAGGACAACCACAGATTTTGCCCCACTTCTGGGTTGTTTCAATGGCTCTTGACTAGACTATAAATTTACATATATAGGGCAGTTTGCCAGGCTAGATTATATTAATATTTAACAACACAAGAGCTGCAGGTACACAAACCTTACATCTACTTTCTATTATGGAACCTTTCAAACATCTTCTGGTTTGCAAAGACAGTTGACCACTTCTACCACCTCTAGATTACCTCCACCTTCCATCTGCAGTATTAAACTGTGGCTTAGAAGTCAAAGTCTGTCTCCCAGCTCACACAAAACAACATGAAAAGGCAATACAAACACATAAATTATGTTAAAACAGGAAAAATAAACCTAGGTCACCTGCAATGGCAACGGAAATCAGTGGAATTGATTCTTACAAATGTGTGATATTTGACTTTTTGGCACTGAGGAAATAAATGCTACAGGGGAGAAGCAGAGTACTGAGCTATTTTGGCTAATAAAGAAGTTATAGAATAGGTCATGTCAAGTTTGTTTTCAATACCATTTAAACCCCTTAATGCATCAAAAACATCCACCGGTACTAGTGCAATATATAAATAAATTACCTTTTTCTTCCAGGCATTTTCAGCATCATTCAGTTTGTCAACGCGATCGTTTAGTGATGTCTGAGTCAACTCAGTTGGGGTAGATTTCTTCAGTCTGTCTTTCTTCTCTTCTTTACCACTAGTTAATGAAGCCATTCTGGAGAAAAGAAAAACATATTTACATTTGTATCTTTTTTAACACTGGGTTTAGGGTTGGACAGTTTGTGTCTGCAAATATGTAGCCTGGATGCTTTAAGTCACCTTTTGTAAAGAGGCGTCTTATTGGAGGCCATTCCTCTTTGGTACAACTATGAGGACCAAAGGATTTTCAAAATAAACTAAAGGGCATTCAAACCATTAATTTGAGGTCCTTTTAAAATATCTGGGGTGAATAAAATTGCAAAAATTGGCGTTTTTTAAATTATCTTTGGATTTCAAAAAAAAAAATCACTAGCAATATTTAAACTTATTCTAGTCTTGTTCTATCGAACACCAAGTCCACCCAAACCCTGTATTAGGCATACATACTATGTACTATGCAATCAAGTGTAAATTAACTATAAGGGATGTGTATTGGTAAGAATCTGGCGATATGATATATATCACAAAACGGGACAATATATATAGAGATACTAATGGCCAGATGATATGTGCAATTTTTAAGACTGATTGTAGTTGGGAAACCAGGCAACAACAACAGTGGGAAAAACTGCTGCCACCCAGCTGTCAAGAGTTTGAATTACACCGCAAAAAAGAAAGACATTAAATGTTTGCATTTAAATTCTCAATAAAAAAATGGTACACTCGCACAAAATACTGTGATATTTCGGAATATCAATATTTTCTTACATTCTAGTTTACTACATTTCAGGATGTTATTTTTTTTATATAAATGAATTGTTAGGTAAAATATGAAGTATAATCCTGGTCTGAGATTTTTTCCTGTCTCATGTCCTGTCCTGTCCTGTAAAGCAGACTTGATATCTGAGTGCCAAAGTCAAGCCTTACAGTTTTACTCTCACAGGTGGAGTGTTATAGCTTCTGTTACAATGCCTCGCCTGATACCAAAACTTTATTAAAATAATTTCAGTTGTTTTAAATACTAATGGACATGGAGACAGAAATTAAAGAGAAAGGGGGAGAGGAAAGGAAGAGGTGGGGGAAGAAAATACAAGTTCCCAAAAATAAACAGTAAAGGGCTGAGAAGTTTTCTGCTTCTAGACCTGAAGAAAAAGAAAAGAAACGAAAAGAAAACAGGGGAACACACAACCGCATGAGAATACATGACAGTAACAATTTTTGCTGAGAAGCACACGGCAATAATTTATAATGCATTTAGCGCCAACCACAGCCTTACGTTATGTGTACAAGTCCATACTTGTGAGATCACCATGTGAGCACCTGTGCTTGTACACGCGCTTGTGTATGTAACGTTTCTCTATAGGAGTGTTCAACAGTGAGTACGAGGGGCCACAGATCTGCCCCCAAAGACCCGTAGAAAGACCTGGTCTGAGATTAAAAGATGACTACCTATGAGACGACAGTTATAGTTCTTTATCCAAGTCAGGTAAAATCTGAATAGTATCACATGCATCCCCACGAGCATGAGAAAGTGAGATCAGTGTCATTTGTCTGAGGAAACCAAAAAGCACTTAATTTGCAGAGGCATGTAAATCATCCAAGCTGAATCATAGCTGCAGTTTGCATTAAATGTCAATGTCAAAAGTTAAATCAGCAATGGCTCACAATCAAACTGGTGTCCATCCTAACCTCTGTTTAAAGGACGAGCTGAGACTTTGATCCAAACTGCTCTCCAGCTCGTCCACATCCTCAGACACTGGTGAAGTGTTTTCCAGAGTCTCGTCAGGTGACAGGCTCCTCGTCTCCTCAAAGCCATCTCTGCTGATGCTGTCCTTCTGTCCTCGGTTCACACTGAAGTGGCCACCATCTACAGCATCATATGTTAACGACTCATCCTCTCTGTCACTCTCTTGGCTGACCTCTTCCTCTTCCATCTCCTCAACCTGTTCATCATTATCCTCGCTCTCAGGGTGGTTTAGAGTGATGCTGGTTTGCCGAGAAGGCACGTGCGCAGGCATCACGCCCTCACTGTGGTCCGACTCCACGCTGGTGGAGCGGCTTTTCTTAAGGATTCCCTTGATACCTTGAGGTCCAGAATCTTGGCGCTGTAGTGAAGATGTTGAGTGGGAGAGAGGGCTGAGAGGAGGTGAATCATCTCTGTTCTTGCTGAGAAGAGGTCTGTCCAGGTGGAAACTGGAAAACTGAGCAAGGTAAAGAGAAACCAGGACAAAAGTTCAGATTGTCTGAAATGTACTCTTTAAATTTCAGTACAACTGGAAATGTTCTGCTGTTTCTATATTTCTTGTGATCATTTGTTTTACCCTTTAGGGAAAAGAAAAAACTCCACTAATTGAAAACCGATGTCATGTAAAACAAACCTGAAAATATCCAATACACTGTGAAGAACAACCTTACCATTCAACACAAACACACAAGGAATGATGTATGCGTTGTGTGTGCTCAATGTGTTATCACTTATGAGAAACAACAACTGGAACCTTGCCACATATTGTCCCAATGGGCCAAAGGTTATGGAGGCATGCTGATTTAAGAGAAGAAGATTGTGAGGCCAGTCCCAGTGTGACAGTGTAACATCAACCTGGTGGTCGTTTTTAATCAACACCAGAGTGTGTGTGTGTGTGTGTGTGTGTGTGTGTGTGTGTGTGTGTGTGTGTGTGTGTGTGTAGAGACTACTTCATCACCCAGTGGAATCAGTCTCAGAGCTCTGCTAAAAATTAACACTTAGTCTGGACGAGGAGAAGAATGAGTGAAGGCTGTAGCTCTGTGTTAGACACGAACAGACTGGACAAAAACAAAGCAAAGTCTAAGGTGAGGACCTTGGAATTGGCTCTTAAGAAGGATTTAACATTGCATAAAATAAAATACAGCCCCCTCAATCATAATCCGAGATTATAATCCAATAGATTTGAAAACCATTTAACTGTTTTTGTACTATCCAGTTAAAGAGAACTGACCTGCTTTTCTTCTGTAGTGATGTATACTTGCTCCTCCTCTCTGGAAGATTTCTCTGTGATTTGTTCCATTTTCTTTTCTTTATCAGCATTGGAGAGGCTGAAATAGCAGAAACAATTACACAGAAAGTGTGAAAAAATGTGTGTGTGTGTGTGTGTGTGTGTGTGTACAGCCTCTTGAAAAGATCATTAGTAGATTTCATATCTCCTACCATTCTCTATGCAGATGACATTCAACTGTACTGCTCCTTTAAAGTGTAAGTCACCCATCTAGAGTCTTACTTCACCCACACTCGCTGTTTAACAATTGCACCAAAAGGAAGGATTACATGGTGGACTTAGAGGGTAGCGCAGTGTACTGACAGCACCCCACCCACTCCATTCTTGCCACTCTGAGATGGAGCAAGAGATTGATGAGTGGATTGATGCGTTGCAGCAGTCTGTTGTGCTGAAAAGAGAACTGAGCTGGAAAGTGAAGTCTTCGATTTACTTGTCGATCTATGTTCCTACCCTCACCTATGGTCACGAGCTTTGAGTAATGACCAAGAGAACAAGATCACGGATACAAGAGGCCAAAATAACTTTTCTCCACAGGGTGGCTAGGCTCGGTCCCCTGGGAGGGGCTTGGCGTAGATCCGCTGCTCCTCCACATCAAGAGGAGCCAGTTGATGTGGCTCAGTTAGGATGCATCCTGGTGACCTGGTGAGGTTTTTCAGGCACATCCAACTGGGAGGACCCATAAGGAAAGACCTAGAACACACTGGAGGGACCATGTCTCTCAGCTGGCCAGGGAACACCTTAGGATTACCCCAGAGGAGCTGGCTGAAGTGGCTGGGGAGAGAGAAGTCTGAGCCTCTCTGCTTAAGCCTGGGGCACACAGACGACAGATGCGCTGCGCCACGGAAACACCGCGGTTTTGGGAAGTCAAATGGCCACACAAGACTTGCTACGCTGCTGAACGCTTCTTGGAAAATTGCGCAGTAGTCATAACATCATGCGGGACTTGAGAACAGGAAGCAGAATGTGACTCTTGTTTATATGTGATCAGACTTGCTGTCGTGTTTTGTGAGACTAATTCATAAAAAATTTATATGTACGCTACTTATTAAAATATTTTAAGATCAACAGTACTTAAAAGCTATCAATACTGTAATCAAGTAGCATTTATAACCTCCTCGTCCATGTTTCTGGCAGTTGGGTTTGTGCCGTAGAGCCGCTCTGTGTTGTGTCTATTGTAAAGTACTTCACAATGCTGTAAACAACCACGCCACAGCATTTGAAATAGGACTGGCGCCTATCTTCAGTGCCTCTGTGCGGACCGGCATTGTGCTCCTCGTGTAGCCACTCTCAGTAATTATAATGGCTTCTTTTTAAAATGACAGAGTGGGTGTGACGTGGAACATCTGTCTTCTGTGTGCCCCAGGCTTTGGGCTGCTGCCCCGTGACGTGACTAGGGATGCACCGATCAGGTTTTTTGCTGCCGATCACCGATACCGATATCTAAGGATGCTGATCACCGATACCGATCATGCGGATTGGCCAGAAATTTTCTACAACATTATAATGAGTGCTACATACTACATAATCTGGGAATAAAGGAAATGTAACCCAATCTAAAATGGTCTGTATTGGGGTTGTCACGTTGTGAAAATTTAACCTCATGGTTATTGTGACCAAAATTACCACTGTTTTTGGTATTATCATGGAATTTTTTTTAAACGTGCTAAATTTTCACACAATTAAATAAACCCTGTATGTCAGGAAATATTGTCCTCAGTTTGTGTCTAAATTTAGCCTAACATGTGTTATTTTGTAATTATGTTGTTTATTTGTTTAAATTTTTTCCCTTTAGTCTTTAAAGTACCAATATTTGCCCAACACTTCTTATTTTTTGTCTGTTTGATGTCATCATTTTAAAAATATTAGATCAGATGATACTCAGTACTCAAGTAGCCTTCTAATGAGATACTTTTTTTTACCCTTACTTGAGTAATAAACCCTATATCAGGAAAATATTGTCCTCGGTTTGTGTCCTTCTGGTGAGCTTTGCAGATGTGGGAAAATGTCATCAGGCAGTAATCATTGTTAAATTCATAATTATTCTCGGAGAGAGACCAACTCTTATCTGCCCCTGGAAGCCCCGTAATGCATAGCATCATTTCAACATGGGGGTGTCCGCGACACGGTTTATATGCAAGTAGCGGTGCTGCGGCTGCGACTCGTTGCTTTCTCCCTCAACCCAAATCCTCGGATCACGCATTTTAGCTAAAACGCTAACGCTAACTTGCCTTGCGTTGACTGTAGAGTTGCGGGTGATGGTCACGCAGATGTGTCATGAGATTTGAAGCGTTGCTGCCTTTCACAGACACTTTTTCTGCATGTGCTGGAAACAGGGTAGCCTTCTTCTATAAACTGTCCCTCGGCATTCTTCAAATATCCAAAAGATGCCCGTACTTCCGACTTTGTCTTCTTTGAGGGATAAAAAATGTCCTCCTGAGCACTGCCGTCTCCTCCTTTGGCCATTATTTCAGCTTCAGCTTCAAGAAAGTTTTGGTTGTAAACAACAAAACGCGCATGTGCCGCAGGCAACTTCAGCAGATGATACGGTGGCTGGTAAGGGTCACCGCGCCTACACCGCAGCCACGGTAATCCACCGAGATAATGTAGTTTTTTTTTTTAAAAACAAGACGGTTATTATTATTGTCAACTTTTTTTTACCGGGGTTTACCGCTACACCGGTTACCGTGACAACCCTACCTGATCGGTCTGCTTTGATCTATTTTGAAAACTCCGATCAAAACCGAAAGGGGCGCTATCGGCCGATTGGGATCAAATGCCGATCCATCGGTGCATCCCTAGACCCCCGGATAAGTGAATGATAATGGATGGATGGATAGATGAAACACTTTTAAACTAAAGAGGTTGATATCACAATATGAACTTGGGATGATATATTTTAGTTCACTGTCTACATTATTGTAATGTATTTTTAATTTTTTATCAAAAAAAGACCTCGATTACCTTCAGTTGACGCAGAACTCTGCAGCAAAGCTGCTAACAACACTGTCTGCTTTGAAAAACTATCAGTCTTGGTCGTTTTGTACTCCCTTTGTACACATTTCATACATCTTGATTGGCTTTGACGTTGCAAACAAGTGTGTGTTTCCAGATCCCCCTAGTGCTGCTAAATCAGATAAGCAACGCTTATCTTAATGTGTGAGTGTGAACAACACCGATGCAGTGTCAGTATCTTCAGAAGATTTATAGATCAGTTCAAATGAATCCAATTCAAAATCTCTGTTCATATTTACGTCTCAAATTAGAATCACTTGATCAAAAACCTGCCACTTATCTCACAAAGGTCTCAGTCAATCAGTGAACACATCACATAGATGCAGGAAATGATTCTGAAACAATCTGTTTCATATTCATAAGACGCAGCATCTCTCTGCAAATGGCTCCTCTACTCTTATTGACCACTCAGTGCACATTACACCAAGTGCTGCGTGTATAAAAACATTCCACACAGCACTTCTATCTCTTAGTAATACAATAACGATCAAAGGCAATTAGGCTTTTAACATTTTGCTGGAGGACACTTTGAGACTGGGGTAGGACCATGAGCTTCTCAAAATGTCACGTGGTCATAATTTTAACCGTTAATGACTCGCTGGGCTGCAACTGTTGGCAGCTAGTTGGAGACACCTTTGTGTTTGTTGAAACTATAAACATGTTTAAAATGCGGATGTTTTAGTTTAGTCTTACTTTGTTTGCAAGCAATCATCCTTTTACTTGCAAATTTTATCAGCAGTCACTTAAAGCTGCAAAGGCAAATTTGGAAAACAAATTGGCTTAAAACATTTGTTCATGCCTCCTAACAACGTTCTAACACAGTAAAGCTATAAATATACTGTAGAGTAAATAAAATATTAATAATGTTGTCCTCTCATATTTGTCTAAAACCCTTGCCAATAACATGTTTCGAACTCAAAGCTACTATTGGACCATACGACACTCGTGCACTTAGCAACAGAACACCACTGGTGTGAGAGGCTCTCCACTCAATAATAACAGATAAGGAGAAACAGCTGGCTGCTACCACTTCAACCTTAGAACAAACTACCAGAATCCCAAAAAGGACAACACCATTTGTAGTCACGGACAACAACAGACATTTGGACCTAGAAAACAGTGACTGGCGTCTAGTGCTATCTTGTTTCCTCTGGCATTGCAGGTTTCTACTTCTGGCAGAAGCGTCTCTGAGGGGAGGGGGGAGTGTTTCGTGACGGTGTTTGTGTTCAGAACCTAGCTTGTTTGTAGATTCGCTATCACAGCTTTAAATTGGTGTCACAGGTTGCCAATCTATTGGTTCCCAAAATTCCAGTGACACAAGAGCGACACCCTGTAGCTCATAAAAAGAACATTTGGAGATTTTGTAGAAACTTTCTTGCAAATTTTGTTTCCAATTCATTGACATCAGCAGCAGCTCAGTAAGGTACTGGCTTAAAGGTTATTACTGCTTAAAAAGATTCTTGTTTGCTTTCATTATTCTCCTTAATTTCTACCTAAAGTCAAATTATTCATACTATCTATAGTGCTTTTAATAAAGCTAAGGAGACAACGTTGGGCTAAAAGGTTGTAACAGAAACTGCAGGTTGATTAAAACTTCATGCATTCAGAAACTATGACATTTTGTTGCATCTTTAGCATTACCACATACTCTCACAAATCTGTGATAAATCCTGTTGCACCTACAATCTCCAGTCTGGTTGGAAGTAAAACAGCAACCACAAACTTCACAGTGTTTTTACATTTATTTGTAGTCATGCATAGATAATCTGAAATCAGGACAAGCTCTGCAGGTTTATCTACATTATGTATCAGCAGCTGTTTATGACAGTCTGTAATTACCTCTGAGCTCCATTCAGAATGCTAACTTTGCTGGGTGTGGGTGTCAGCCACTTTTAAGGGCATTAGCCTCCTGTTGTTTCTACTCGAGCACAGATTTTCCAATAAAATGGCAAACGAAGGATTTGTAGTTCAATAAAACATCCCATTCGTGCTGGTAGTCACTCGGAATCACTCACCTGGCGGGAGACTCCTCTTTGTCACTCTCGATTATCTGATGCTGTAGTTTGTCACCACAGTGCCGACTGCCTTTTCCGTCCTCCGTTTCTTCGAGATCCTGCAAGCAAAGAGGAAGGCTTAGCCTAAAATCATGGTTTGAGTTTATGAGGAATCCTGCCGAAGCCCTACACCAGCTGTAAGGATTATCTCAGTAACGGAAGTGAGTGAATAAATAAGGCTCCACTCCTGTATTTAAGAATAGCACTTAACCCTTGCAGTGCTTGGGCTGAGCTGCTCAGAGGTCAATGATCTGAAGTTGAGCTGCTCATCCTGAGCACAGAAAGCAGCATGCAAATTTTAGGGCACCTGCAGTCATAGTTTCTGTACCTGTGAAAAGTAAAGTAAGAAACTGATGGTTTATTTTAAAAAATCAATTTAAATTTCCTTTAATAATAAATTATTTTATTTTTTAATGACATTACAAGACACGTTTGGGAATATTAGGGGTTAGTACTTCATAACACCCCAGTTTAGCAGTTAGTACAAGTACCACAGTAAGTACATTGAACTTTGAAGAATAAGTCACATGTATAACGATGAGAGGGACTTCAATAGGAGAATGTACTGTCCAACCTGATGAAAAAAAATCTGTTTTGACTTGTTTAAACCATTGTCAGCATTCTCTGCGTGTTGTCCCTGATATAATAGAAAACTGGTTATAAAGCAGGTGTTGATGCCTCCAATGCTGTATTTAAATATTTTTTTATATCTGGAAATTCACAAGTAAGCCCAATTATTGCTTCTACAGAATAGTTTTTACGTATTCCTCTTACAAAACCTGCTCCTCTAAGGTCTGTAATAATTTGGATGTTTAGGGAATCATGAAAAACCTGCAGCTTCTTGGAGTCTAAGAGGAATTTCAGGCAGGTTTAAAATCTACTTCCTCCGGATTTATTTTCTTCCCAATGAGCAAGTGGGATGTTTCCTCGTAGTTTCCTGGTTTTTCATAGCATTCCCTTTCCTATTTACCAGTGAAATGTTCTGTAATTCAATGCAACACAAGTACAGGGAGAGCAGAGTTATTAGGCAAATGAGTATTTTGTCCACATCATCCTCTTCATGCATGTTGTCTTACTCCAAGCTGTATAGGCTCGAAAGCCTACTATTAACTAATTAATTAATTAAGCATATTAGGTGATGTGCATCTCTGTAATGAGAAGGGGTGTGGTCTAATGACATCAACACCCTATATCAGGTGTGCATAATTATTAGGCAACTTCCTTTCCTTTGGCAAAATGGGTCAAAAGAAGGACTTGACAGGCTCAGAAAGGTCAAAAATAGTGACATATCTTGCAGAGGGATGCAGCAGTCTTAAAATTGCAAAGCTTCTGAAGCGTGATCATCGAACAATCAAGCGTTTCATTCAAAATAGTCAACAGGGTCGCAAGAAGCGTGTGGAAAAACTAAGGCGCAAAATAACTGCCCATGAACTGAGAAAAGTCAAGCGTGCAGCTGCCAAGATGCCACTTGCCACCAGTTTGGCCATATTTCAGAGCTGCAACATCACTGGAGTGCCCAAAAGCACAAGGTGTGCAATACTCAGAGACATGGCCAAGGTAAGAAAGGCTGAAAGACGACCACCACTGAACAAGACACACAAGCTGAAACGTCAAGACTGGGCCAAGAAATATCTCAAGACTGATTTTTCTAAGGTTTTATGGACTGATGAAATGAGAGTGAGTCTTGATGGGCCAGATGGATGGGCCCGTGGCTGGATTGGTAAAGGGCAGAGAGCTCCAGTCCGACTCAGACGCCAGCAAGGTGGAGGTGGAGTACTGGTTTGGGCTGGTATCAAAGATGAGCTTGTGGGGCCTTTTTGGGTTGAGGATGGAGTCCAGCTCAACTCCCAGTCCTACTGCCAGTTTCTGGAAGACACCTTCTTCAAGCAGTGGTACAGGAAGAAGTCTGCATCCTTCAACAAAAACATGATTTTCATGCAGGACAATGCTCCATCACACGCGCCCAAGTACTCCACAGCGTGGCTGGCAAGAAAGGGTATACAAGAAGAAAAACTAATGACATGGCCTCCTTGTTCACCTGATCTGAACCCCATTGAGAACCTGTGGCCCATCATCAAATGTGAGATTTACAAGGAGGGAAAACAGTACACCTCTCTGAACAGTGTCTGGGAGGCTGTGGTTGCTGCTGCAAGCAATGTTGATGGTGAACAGATCAAAACACTGACAGAATCCATGGATGGCAGGCTTTTGAGTGTCCTTGCAAAGAAAGGTGGCTATATTGGTCGCTGATTTGTTTTTGTATTGATTTTGAATGTCAGAAATGTATATTTGTGAATGTGGAGATGTTATATTGGTTTCACTAGTAAAAATAAATAACTGAAATGGGTATATATTTGTTTTTTGTTAAGTTGCCTAATAATTATGCACAGTAATAGTCACCTGCACACACAGATATCCCACTAAAATAGCTAAAACTAAAAACAAACCAAAAACTACTTCCAAAAACATTCAGCTTTGATATTAATGAGTTGTTTGGGTTCATTGAGAACATGGTTGTTGTTCAATAATAAAATTATTCCTCAAAAATACAACTTGCCTAATAATTCTGCACTCCCTGTATTTAGGATGCCTGACTTCATTACTTGGTGACCAGTATGGGAGAATTTATTTTAAACCAAATTCTGCATATTTCTATTCATTACACAAACCTTTAGCAATTGTATACAAATATCCTATTTTTTAGGCAGAAGAAATGTCCAAAATGCATTTAAATGTTAAATAGACTATGTGTATTTTTACAGTTAATATCTGGAAATATCCATCCAAACATTGTTGAAAAAGATTAAAATGGTGTCCAAATCAGGTCTTAAGTATATAGAGGGAGACACCATATTAGAAACCATGTTTTCTTTTGGCCGGCTTGGGGTCCTGCGCCTGTCAATGACATCACACTGGATGAATGGCTTGGCATATGACTTATGGAGGTGTGACCAAGTCATTGCTTTGCAAGTCACAAGTCTTTCCAGCCAAGTCTCGAATCAAGTCCAAATCAAAAACAACCAAGTACAAGTCAAGCCCAAAGTCAATGAAGTGGAAGTCCAAGTCAATTCACATTAACTTTGAATTTTCAAGTCATAATCAAGTCATCTGTCCAACTTCAATTCAATGACGATGTTAAATAAATAAACTCCAGAAATAAAGCTTCTTAAAGCTTCACTTATTTGCTCAAACAAGCAGGAAGTGCAACTGAACTTGATCATAAACAAAGTGCTGCTGCATTTAGCAGTACAAGATCAAACCGAGAACCAAGAATGATTTATGATTTTTGTCCATGTCGTGTCACTTTTGTGCTAAAATATCAGATATGCTCAAGTCATCGTCAAGTCAACAGATGCAAGTTGATTCAAGTCGCAAGTCATTGGCGTTCAAGTCCGAGTTAAGTCGTAAGTCTTTATAGATTTATCAAGTCAAGTCAGAAGTCATTAAAATAATGACTCGAGTCCAAGTCATGTGACTTGAGTCCACACCTTAGCTTATGGAAGTTACGTTACCACGTAAAAAAATATTTAGGCAGTAAATGACACAAGTTTAATAACTAAACTGCTAAACTCTCTGAAAACATATGTGAAAGAACAGAATCGTAAAAGATATCCCATATATATTGGCCAAGCGGTCTTGCCGTCGTATGATGAATACCAAATAGATAATAATAATAATAATGCATTGAACTTATATAGTGCTTTTCTAGACACCCAAAGACACTTTCCACACACTCTCACATTCACACACTGCTAGTGATGGTAAGCTACTTGTAGCCACAGCCGCCCTGGGGAGGTCTGACAGAGGCGAGGCTGCCATTTGGCGCCGTCGGCCCCTCTGACCACCACTAACACAGGCAAGTTGGGTGAAGTGTCTTGCCAAAGGACACAACAGCAGGATACCCCTGGCGGGAGCTGGAATTGAACCCATGACCCTCCGATCACAAGGCAACCCGCTCTACCACCTGAGCTACTGCTGCCCCAACCTGAACCACCAAAGTGAACATAGCTTTCATGAGTTCAAAGCCTAAGCAAACTTCTGGAAGATCTGCTATTTGCATTCCTTTCTACTCTTAATTAAAGAGTTGATGTAACCAAAGTCAGTTTTGATGATCTTTAGGATTAGCAAAAAAGCCTAATTTTATGCTTGATGGTTTGATTACTATTATTTTTAATAAAAAAAACTCAATGTTTGCACATACATTCCATTAAAAGAATGCATCTGAATGTTGTACAGTGTACAGCATGAAACATGCAGCTGTGTTGGTAAACACTTTAGTGAGCCCCTGGAGAGACCTGGCATGGGTAAGTGGATCTCCAGCTGTGAGGAAAATACTTTAAGTTGAAATTCCTAAAATTAGGCAAACCTCTTACAAACTATGTGCAGCTCAGTGAGCACACTAAAGGAGGTTGTTTTCTGCGGCACACATTTATTAATTCCTCTTACGAGTAAAGGAAATCAAAGTGTAAATTAGTTCTGTTCCTCTCAAGAAGTCTCCACACAGATTATGACTCTACCCCCATTTATATAAATACTGATTTACTGGTTTTCCACAGAAGCTGAACAGTTGATTGAATAATCAGGACAGTGAAGACAGAAAAGTGCTACCTGCCGGTGTAGTGATAGAAGCACATTAAAATAAAAGATTTAGGACAGACAATGGGCTCAACAATAGGCTCCATTTAGGAACCTGTTTTTCCACAGTTTATTTGTTGGAGAAACATTTAACCATCTGGGTTCGCTTGGCCAGGATTGGCACCACTCCTGGTCTGTAAATGCCAAATTAGAACAGCTTTACATCAAACATTATGAGACCTAACCACTTCTGAAACCTCAGCAGCCTGGGAAAACCAGATTCCCAGTTCATGTTCAAGCTCACATGTGAAGACTTCCCACAGGATTTGGGGCAATCTTGAGTTCTTGTACATATCTTTTAGCACTCTAACCTTTTCCTTCCACAAGCATCTTTAGGCCTACACAGATTGTGTGAGCTGAAGTCACATCTTTGGACAGGCATGCAACCAGGTGCAGGACAGCTCAGTGCAGAAAGGAATGGCTCTATTTGTTTTTAATGGAGCAAACATCCAGGGAAGAGTTGAAGTGTGCAACAGCTGCACTGGAAAGGCTGGATGTAAACCAGCATGTGGAGTGGAAAGGACCTGGCACATGTAGGAGAAAAACAGCTGCAACATAACCAGGAAATTTGTGAAGTCAAATTAAGATTAATGTTGGGTTGTTCGCTTAATAGATTTGGACTTGATTGATTTACATACTGGCAAATGAAGGGCAGCTTGGATACAATGTGTGGGAAGCAAAACTGGAATGACCCATCAATGATCTGGAATGATTTAGTTGCACCGATTTCAAATAAAGATCCAGCAGAGAACGCTGAAACATTCTGAATGGACCTCTTACAAAAACGACTCACCTTTCATTCAAAATCATTCATTTACAGATGTCACAAAGATGGAAAATCAGTCGAGTTTAGAGTGAAATATTTCATGTTATATTGCATGACAATGTTTGATGTAAGTCGTTGTGTCCTTGGGAAAAACACTTCACCCTCCTTGCCTACTGGTGGTTGTCGGAGAGGCTGGTGGCTCCTGTCCTTGGAAACCTGGCCTACGTCAGTGCTCCCCAGTGCAGCTAGCTTATAACCACCAGTGTGTGAATGAATTAATGACTTATGTGTTGTACAGAGCCTTGTGGGGTTGTAGGGCCCTAGAAGACACTATATAAATACAGGTCATTTACCAATGTTTGACATAAGTAAATTAAGTTTGTGTACCACTCTGTTGTGAAGGTTTCTATCACCTCAAAGCATTTAAAACTGACTTTATTTCCTAAAGAAACACCGTCATTCTAACCAAACGGATAAATAATCCACACTTGTAGCACCTTTCTGAGTCTGACGACTCCAAAGCGTTTTACACTACAGTGTATTATTCATCCATTCACACACACACAATCACATACTGATAGTGATGAACTACAATGTAGCCACAGCTGCCCTGGGGCACACTGAAAGAGGCCAGGCTGGCAAGCACAGGCGCCACCGGTCCCTCCAGCCACCACCCATTTATCCATCCATTTTTAGCCGCTTATCCGGAGTCGGGTCGCGGGGGCAGCAGCTTAAGCCGAGAGGCCCAGACTTCCCTCTCCCCAGCTACTTGGACCAACTCCCTCGGGGGAATCGCAAGGCGTTCCCTGGCCAGCCAAGAGACATAGTCCCTCCAGCGTGTCCTGGGTCTTCCTTTGGGTCTCCTCCTGGTTGGATGTGCCCGGAAAACCTCACAATGGAGGAGTCCAGGATGCACCCAAACTTAACTGGCTCCTCTCGACATGGAGGAGCCGCAGGTCTACCCACAGCCCCTCCTGGATGACCGAGCTTCTCACCCTATCTCTAAGAGAGAGTCCAGCCACCCTGCAGAGAAAAACTAATTTCGGCCATTTGTATTGGTCACTCCTCAAAGGTCATGATCATAGGCGAGAGTGGGAACGTAGATCGATAGGTAAATTGAGAGCTTTGCCTTCCGGCTCAGCTCTCTCTTCACCACGACAGACTGGTACAACACCAACATCACTGCAGATGCAGCACCAATCTGTCTATAGATCTCATGCTCCATTCTTCCCGTGCAGTGCGCACGGATCATTCCGCTACCGTTCCTCATCCGTGACAGTGAGAGGAGGCGCACGGATTGCTCCGTTATCGTGGTTTGTTGTGCTGCTGTGCGTCGTCCGTGTCAGCAGAGAAGGTAGGGAGGGGGGTAGGACCTGCCAGGCTTATAAAGCGCTGGGGGAGAGGCTGGATTGGTTGGGCGAACTCCCATGCATCGACCACCACCAGCAGGCAAAAAGGGTGAAGTGTCTTGCTCAAGGACCAGCATGTAATGTGGCCTTTTTATTGTGTGTAATGCTTTTTATGGTTGTTTTATACTGCTCTTACGTGTGTTTCTTATTGCTTCTTGTATTGTTCAGCACCTTGGGCATGATAATGTTGCAGAAGGGGCTTTAAATATAAAGTGAAATGAAAATGAAAAAATGAAAGGACACAATGGCAGAATTCCCTGCAGGGAGCAGGAATCGATCCTTCTAGCCCCTGATTACTGGACAACCTGCCCTACAACACACCTTAAGCCAAGTCTGGAGTAAACTTAATCTTTGCTTAACTAATTTAAGGCTTTACAGCAAAATGCAATGTTGTACCACAGAGTTTATGTCCTAAAACTGTAGGCGTAATAATGCATACAAAGACAAACATCAATGAAAAAAATATATTAATAAATAATAAAAAACAAAAAATGACTGTAATAGAATACCTTCATACGAGACATCCTGGAAGTTAGACTTCTCCTGGTAAGCTCCACAGACTTCTCATCTGCTAAGGAAAACACACCAATAGTGCATTGTGCATTCATATTAGTGTCCTAATAGGCATTTAAATTCACACAGGCACAAACTGTATCCATATTGATCTGAATAATTGTTGAAATGTTGTGCACTCATGTAACAAGAACACACATGCATCACACACCACCTTGGTTCAATCGGAAGTTGTCCTTGCTCGAGATAACAACGTAAAACCAGGATGGATAATCTGACAATGTTACTGATTTCACTATGTCTCAGGTCCAAGATAAATGATAAATGACCCGCACTTGTATAGGGCCTTTTAGAATCACAGGAGTGCAAAGCGCTCTATACTGCAGTGTACCATTCATCCATTCATGCACTGATGGTGATGAGTTACAATGTAGCCACAGCTGCCCTGGCCAGACTGACGTGGGCGAGGCTACTGAGCACAGCCGCCACCGGTCCCTCCGACCACCACCAGCAGGCAAGGTGGGTTAAGAGTCTTTCCCAAGAACCCAAAACCAGAATACTCTGAGCCTGGATCGAACCTGAAACCTTCTGATTACAGGACAATCCACTTAACCTCCTGAGCTACTGCTGCCCCCAGTATGATAAATGAAACAAAAGGCCTCAGGTTGAGTTTAAAAAATGTGGTTATTTCAGTAAATGTTTTCATTCCGTTACAAATGCAAACACATTAACTTTGTGTTTAAACATCTTTTAAAAAGAAAACTAGGATTAAATCTCATGTGATGGGCCTGATGAAAAACAGAACAGAGATTAAAATCGAATCTAAACACAAGTAACCCATTAAATGGAATAATATTCTAAAACAACGTAAATTTCTTAATTCACTGCACTTTAATCCAGTCTCCCTCTTTAAATCAGCTTTTATTGCCTTGACAATGTGATGTTTCAACCCATAATAATGGCATGTCTTTGATAAACTAAGTATTTCCAGTGGAAGAAAACCAAAAGAAAGCTCCTCGTCTGATTAATGTTTTCAGGCTCCCCTGCTGTCCAGAGCTTAGTGTGATTTACTTCAAATGATGAAATATTAAGCATTGCAGACTGGTGACTCCACTCAAACTGCCCTCATAGTTTTGACTTTAGTCCAATATTTTTTTACATAATCAGTGATCCAAGGCCAAAAGCAGAGTCAGGGGGAAAAAAGAAACTGAAGAAATGGAAAAAAAAATCTACTTAGGTCAACAAACTATTCCTTAAGTGTTTACATCTGTCTTTCAAGACAGCTCTCATACAGCTGCTTAGTTTTATTGGATGGACCTTTGACCTGGGAACTGCAGAGTGTAAATATCAGCCTAAATGTTCAGAAGATCAAAGTATAGCATACAATCTGCATGACCTGGAGTAACACAACAACCCCTGATATGATAAAGGGCAATGTCCCACTTTAAAGTTATTTAACCATTGCGAAGTGTGGGTCGGTGTAAAGGTGATACACTTTCATTATCTTTAATTCTTTGTAGTTTAGTTAATGATATTTAATAGAGGCTATTGGCATACATATTTAGTTTAGGTTAAATACCTTGTTGGTGGATATCATCAGCTGGCCCAAGCACTGAAGTTGGTGCAAACACCTGGCCTCAAAAATCTATTTTATTCTCCCCCCCCCCCCCAAAAGAAACCAAAACAAAACCTCACACACACTAATATGTCGTTGGACCGCCTTTAGCTTTAGCAAAGTCTCGCTTCTGTCAATGGGCCTCGGGGCAGCAATGGTTATTAGGGATTAGGGTTGGGCGATATGGCCTAAAATCAATATCACAATATATTGAGGATTTCACCTTGGTAACAATAAACAGACGATAACTACAGGTATGCGCAGAGACAAAATTTGTCCACTAGGTGGGGCTGTCACATGTATTACGTTGAGTCACATTTTTACATGACTTAAGGTGGTACAGCTTCTTAAAGGGACATGAATGTTGCCAACCTACACACATCTTTTCATTTGTTTATTATCACGTTTATTGACATGGGAAAATTTATCGACAGGAGTCACAAATTTCGATAATGATAAGTGTTCAATTTATCGTCCAGCCCTACTAGGGATGTGTATTGGTGAAATTATGGCGATATGATACGTATCACGATACGGAGAGACGATACATACAATATATTACAATATGATGCCAGGCATTCAATCAGGCAATTTTTTTAGACTGAATTTATTATAGGAAAATTCAATAAACAGTCCAAACTGACACTTAACATGTTTAACATGAGGTATCTGAACCATAACAGAGGGATTAACATTTCAACGGTGGAAACACAACCCATTACACACTGCTGCCAACTAGTGGTCAGCATTTGAATTGCCCCCCAAAAGATAAAACACAAATGTTTGCATGTAAATTATTCCAAAAATTAAATTCACAGCTTCGATATATAGTAATATCGCTGAAAAAAAAATCACAATATATTGCCATGTCGATATTTTCTTACATCCCTAGTAGTGGCTACGATGTAGCTCAATCACCACCAGAGTGTGAATGTGCGTGTGAATGGATGAATGATGCACTATAGTGTAAAGCGCTTTGGAGTCCTCTGACTCAGAAAGGCGCTATACAAGTGAGAGTCATTTATCATTTTCATTAGAGCTCACATTCACTGTGGCATTGTTTCAATGAGCTTCTGCAGTGTCACAAGATTTATTTCCATCCAATGTTGCATTAATGTTTCACCAAGATCTTGCATTGATGATGGCAGAGTCTGACTACCCCACAAAGCCTTCTCCAGCTCATCCCAAAGATTTTCAATGGGGTTAAGGTCTGAACTCTGTGGTGGCCAATCCAAGTGTGAAAATGATGTCTAACGCCGGGGACACACTGGCCGCGGAAGAGCCGCGGAAGCGCCGCGAAAATGGGACCGCCTTCATTTGGCGCCCTTGTTAAGCTATTCTACAGACCACATGGGCCGCCGAAGCGCCGCGAATCGCCTCGCGCCGGCGCTCCAGCCCGCGCCGTGCAGCGATCATTTTGGCGTTGGCTCTATTTTTTTCGCGAGCCGCGGGTGATTTGCGTCAATTCTGGCAGGAAGTCAAACGTATACATAAGAGGCAGGCCGGTAAAGTTAACAAAATAAAGCATTTCAAAATAAAATTCCGCAATAATCAAATGTGTTCGTAAACAGACACTGCAGAAAAACCACACGAACACGCACACACATACACACACATCGAACTTGTGTGCGTGTGTGACCACGTGAAGGGGGGTGTGGTTTTGGGTGTCTTTTCACCAGAGCAAACAGGACAGAGAGGCAGAAAGTCTGAGGCAAGCAGTTAGGATGGATGACTTTAAATGAATTATGGAAGTTGAGAAACACAAGGAGCTGTACGACCCCCGAAAAACATGGTTATTTACGTACCCATTTCGGAAGAAACTGCTAGGATACCGCTGCAGAATTGGAGCGGGTTCCAAGAGATTCAACTGGCAGAAACAACTCATACCATAGGTTCACCCACACAAACACACACACACACACACACACACACACACACACACACGCACACGCACACACACGCGTACAAACACTCAAACGTAGAGGAAAAGAGCTGAGAAAAGGCAGAGAGGAAATGGAGGACACCAAGTGTTTAAAAGAAAAACTACAGCTGAGCAGAGGCGCGTCTGATCTGAACTGAGGAGCGGCGAGCAGCGGCCGAATTTCATGAGCGATTCGCTTCTCGGCGCTTCCGCGGCCGGTGTGTCCCCGGCGTCATGCTCCTTGAACCAATCTTTCACTGTTTAAGCTCGATGAATCCTGGCATTGTCATCTTGTCACCTGGCATTTTCATCAGGGAAGATGGAATAACCTGGCCATTCAGTATATCCAGGTAGTCAGCTGACCTCATTCTTGGAGCACATCTTGTTGCTGAACCTAGACCGGACCAACTGCAGCAACCCCAGATCATAACACTGCCCCCACAGACTTGTACAGTTGGCACTAGGCATGATGGGTGCATCACCTCATTTGCCTCTCTTCTTACCCTGATGCACCCATCACTCTGGAACAGGATCCATCTGGACTCAGACCAGTTTATAATAATACGTTGGACAGTTCTTGGCCCAGTTATAGTCGTTTCTACGATCTCCTTAGAGGTTCTCTGCTTGATGCATGCCAATGATCTGACCCTTCTTAAACAGATATGGCCACAACCATTAGATGTCTTTCCACATGTTTTTTTAAGAAACGAGAGGTAACTCATTGCACCAGTTGGGATTAAATAACTTGTTACCATCAGAAAGATAACCATCCATGCAGTAATTTTCCAATTGAAGGCTCTACCTATTTGCTTAGTTAAATCCAGGTGGAGACTTTTTTGGCCTGGCGGTTTATTTCCATTCACTGAATTGTACCATATCTGGATTCCCAATAAGAACACAGTCATTAACATGCTTGTCTGCTTGTTTTCAGACAAACTGAAATAAGAACTATACTACCACATTCAAGATTAAATGTGACCATGATACTATCATCAAATAAATCACCAGAGACAGCTGCACTGCTTTGATGCCAGCTACATTTACCTGAATGAGAATAACAAAGTTCAGAGGCATTACTCACAGCTCTGCAGTCAGCTGAAACAACTGTTACCACTGACTGAGTATAGTACACGGAGAGAAACAGCAAGTTTCCCTTTATGGGGCTGATTTAACAATAATGTTCAATGGAATAAAATGGTTGATACCACATTAAAATTAACTTAATAATTTACCTGTTACACCTCATTTGAACAAGTGTGTGGCTCAATCTAGTATAATTAAAGGGGATACTAGGCAGTTTCGTTTGCATCTAGCACCCCATAGTGTACATTATTATGTGTGATCAAATAAGTGAAACTTAGCTCTTCATTGTGAGTTTGTCATTTTAACACCTTAACCTAACAGCAGAACAACCTTCCTTAGTTTATACAGGAATGGTTCATCACTAAACAAAACAAATCAGCTGTGTTCATAATCTTAAAGATGCAGGAAAAGTGCTGGAAGCAGTCAGCAGTGCCAGGTATGTTAGCTCAAATGTTTTCCACAGGTGGTGACCCAGCACTCTGAAGTTGCAAATGCAGTATTCTGGCCACAGAGGATGGTGGGGGTCCGAGTGGCCTTTCATTAACCCTGTGTAAAGGGTCATTTTAGCATACAACTGGCTCAAGAAAATTATTTATAAAAAATGAAAAATTTGCATAGAATCCCTTTAAAAAGGTAAATGAATACAGAAATGTAGGTAATTTATTGCTCGGTTACTTGACACAAACACTTTAATAGTGTGGGCTCTGGTAGCTGAGTGTGAGTTCATAGCTGTTAGTAGTCTAGAAGTGACGACTATAATTGGGAAGATCTTAAAATGCTTGCTACATAACAGCCTACAATAAACACATGAACCAGAAAAGGTGTCTGAATAAGTGCAAACATCCCAAACATAATCTCCTCTTGTATTATCAAAAGAAAAAGTGTGGTTAACATGCTTTAAATAACTGCATTTATTTCATCCCATTCAACCTCTGTGGACAAGTACTAAAATGCACCCATCAATAAACCCAGTAGGTGATCTGACATCAGCAGTGAGCTCGGTATTGCTTTCAGACTGACTAATAGAAAGCACCCCAATGAGAAAGCAGGCTGTGAAACAATAGAGGATGTGAGAGCGGTGAAAGTAGAGGCTTCATCTTACCGTCAGGCTCGTCTGTGCCACCAGTTTCCAGCAGCCTAGCAGAGACAGAAGCAGAAATAAGTGACATCACCCATTGACATAATCAAGTGATGGAATTATGCCAGTTATGACTGATGCTCCTATAAAATGGGAAGAAAAACAATCAAAGAAACCTACGAGTGTGCTCCATAAAATACATGATCTAGGATGAGCCAGCAACAGGAGAACAGTGGCGAGCCGCTTTCTGTACCTCACATAGTGTGTCCTACAACGTTTACACATCCTTCACTTTTAACTGTTGCTATGATATAACAGCAGTGGCTGTGTAGCGTCTGAAGGGGGTCATTCTTCTCTAAGTAATGGGCATTAAAAATGGATGGGGACAGCAGCTGCCTTTGGGGTAGAAGCAATGATGTAACAAGAGTAGGGGAGAGTGTTGCTTTTAACACAAAGAGGAATCATATTGGACATCTGGGAGAGGTCAAAGGTTTTGGAAGAAGGGTAGTCAATGGCAAGCTGGATGGTCACAGCTAAGAGTCAATCTAGTGCTTTTCAGTCTCTGTACAAATGCTCGTTCATTTAAAAAGTGAACTTCATGGAGAACCTTTTTGTGATTCATAAAAACTGTGAAAGAGTAAGTTTGTATTGCAAACAGCCATTTGGTAGCCATTAGAACTCATTGTGTGACAGCATGCTTCTTGTTGGTTTGGACCATTGAGCTTGTACTCTTGGATCCAACAGTCTGACACAAACTGCATTAATATTGTGCCATGAAAAAAATTTACTAAATTAAGATCAGCCACAAACTCTAAAACCACAATGTGACAACAGAGAACTGCAGTAATCCTAAAAGCTGTGGCCAGCGTAACTTGGTGTTTCTGATGTAGAATGTGTTGCTGTCAACTTCCTAAAAAAACCAACGTACTTCTTTGACTCTTCAGATTTGCCACACTAGCGCTCCTAGAATTCTTGTCATACCCGCTTTTGTTGTGCAAAATGTCACTCATTAAGACATACGCACATTCAGATAGCATGCTGTTGTCTTGTGAGCTGCAACAGGGTTGTTGTGGTACTAATTTAAGCTCCAACATGCTTTGAGCACAGCTAACTTGGTTTGTTCCACATTAGAACTGACATAGTTTCTACATGAGTGAAGCAGCATAATAGTTTTATTCAGTATTGACTAGTCCTGCTATTTTTCCAGCTTGGGTAAATTACAAAATATGTAGATTTCTCCACAATTTAAACTAGGCTTGTTGTTGTCCATTTTCAAAAGATTTAATTTTTTCAAACACTGTAATTGTGTGCCCTTAAAACTCAGGTTGGGTTTAAGCTAATCTTATACCCCTTGGTGGTATTTTTGTATAACGTTCTCCCATACACAAACCACTTGCTTTGGTTGGCTTTGATGCAGACTTCTTAACGACAAAATTTTCTCTTCTAAATTATAAACCATCCTGCTCACATTAAACATCCTTTCTAGGGCTGCACAATATATCGCAAATATATCATTATCGCGATATCAGCCCGCACAATATGCATATCGCAAAGAACAAATAAATATTGCAATGGATGGTCAGCTCAAATGTTTGCTACACACATAATGCATTCTGTCAATCAAACGGATGCATGATGTCTTTTTAAGAAATCAAATAGAGCTCTTCACCCATTTGGCCAATTGGGTGGGTTCTCATTGGTTAGAGGTGGACAGCACTTAATTTTGATAGTTAGCAAACACCTGAGTTAGCTTTGTTCTGCTCTTTCTGCTGATTCTGCTTTTCCTGGGATCCACTGATTGCCTTTTCTTGTTCATTTTCTTTTTCCCTTTTCTTCACATCTTTTTCTTTTCTCATTTAAATGATTTATTTGTCAGTTTTTTAGTTCTTTGTTTTTGAGTTTTTGTTCCCAAGTTAAGTTTTTATTTATCACAAGTAATATCGTCATCGCAATATTAATCACTGTTATCGCATATCGCAAGTTTTCCTAATATCGCGCAGCCCTAATCCTTTCCATTTTTTTTGGTCCAATTGCAGGTGTGGTTCACTCATTTAATCAATACATTTGTAGTGGTATCTAGCTGAAATGAATGCCTTAAAAGTCAAACTTTGGGGAAATAAAGCTCTGGTGCACCATTTTCAGGAACTAGACGTTTTCCTGAACAGAGCTGAGCTTCAGACAGTAGGATTTTGAGTCTTACTTTCTGATATTTGGACATCTCACCTCTATACTTTTAGGACTGGATCATAGTTACAAACAATATTTAGGGCTATCATCCCTCAATATAATTTTATTATAAGCTTCAACATGTTAGGTATAAAATATGCTAACAGCAGGGTTGATTGAACAGTACAAAGAAGCCTGCCTGCAACAACTTAAACACACTTGTATTCATTGCTACTCCACTTTCACATTTCAAAGCTTATTATCAGTCCTTGGTGATAAAGTGTTTTAACAGACTGGCTGCCTTAGTTTGTAACCACAAAGAAATGGTGACACTTGCCCAACCCACAGTTTGGCAAGCAGCTACAGGGAGGAGCAGCTTACATCTGTCTTATGCAGCCAGACCTAACAGTGACGTTAAATAAAATCAGTCATTCAAAGTAACAAGATAAAGTGAAGCCCATTTAAACTATGGTCAACATTTCATTAATCAAAAGCATTCAGTACATTTCCTCCTGAGACAATAAATTGTATCACCAATGGGTTCAAACTCAAAAACAAATGACAAATATTTTAAAGATGCAGTCAAGACTTTGGCTGATCTCAAAGACTGAGATAAAAAAAGGATTATAATTGAATGTTCAGTGAACTATTTGAATTTTGGAAAGTTCAGGTAAAACTTTTAGATAGTTGAAGAATTCAGCTAGGGCTGGGTGATATGGCCTCAAATCTATATTGCGATATAATCTGAAGCATGTGCGATAACAATATTTATTGCAATATATTTTTTCCTCTGTTTATATATGTCAAAATGACATGCTTTTAGAAAATCTTCATATGGCAAATGTATTGCAGCAGAATAAAGACATCCAAAAAGAATGCTCTTCCCCGTCCGCCCTCTCCATGCTTGTGGTCACTGCCATTCTGTTGTCCCAATGTCGGCGCGTGTGCACATCTTAGTGACGTCATGCGTTACCGCGATATCGCAATAGAGCCAAAAACTCTATCATTACCCAATTTTATCTTGTTTCTGCATTATATCATTTATATTGCCCACTCCTAAATTCAGCCACATTAAACAATAATTAGATTAGAATAATTAGATCTCACATGAGTCACATCTAGGGTTGACACGGTAACCGGTGTAGCGGTAAACCCCGGTAAAAATGTAGACAATAATAATAACAGTCTTATTTTTAAAAAAATACATTATCTCTGTGGATTACCGTAGCTGCGGTGTAGGCGCAGTGACCCTTACCAGCCACCATGTCATCTGCTGAAGTTGCCGGCGGCACATGCACACTTTTTTGTTTACAACCAAAACTTTCTTGAAGCTAATGCTGAAATAATGGCCAAAGGAGGAGACGGCAGCGCTCAGGACATTTATTACCCCTCAAAGGGGACAAAGTCGGAAGTATAGGCATTTTTTGGATATTTGAAGAATGCCGATGAACAGTTGATAGAAGACGGCTATCCTGTTTGCAGCACGTGCAGGAAGTGTCTGTGAAAGGCAGCAACGCTTCAAATCTCATGACATATCTGCGTGACCATCACCCACAACTCTACAGTCAAGCAAGGCAAGTTAACATTAGCGTTTTACCTCAAATGCGTGATTCGAGGATTTGGGTTGAGGAAGAATGCAATGAGTCGCTATGTAAAGCAGCCACAGCACCCGCTACCTGCATATAAACCGTGTCGCGGACACCCCCATATTGAAATGACGCTATGCATTACGGGGCTCCCAGGGGCAGATAAGAGTTGGTCTCTCTCCGAGAATAATTATGAATTAAACAATGATTACTGCCTGATGACATTTTCCTAAATCTGCAAAGCTCACTGGAAGGACACAAACTGAGGACAATATTTTCCTGATATAGGGTTTATTACTCAAGTAAGGGTAAAAAAGTATCTGATTAGAAGGTTACTTGAGTACTGAGTATCATCTGATCTAATTTTTTAAAATGATGACATCAAACAGACAAAAAATAAGAAGTTATGGGCAACTATTGGGATATTAAAGACTAAAAGGAAAATATGTAAACAAATAAAACCTAATAACAAAATAACAAATTTTAGGCAAAATTTGGACACACACTGAGGACAACATTTTCCTGATATACAGGGTTTATTTAGTTGTCTGAAAATGTAACACTTTTTAAAAAATACTGCAAAAAATACCGAAAACCGTGATAATTTTGGTCACAATAACCGTGAGGTTAAATTTTCACACCGTGACAACCCTAGTCACATCCCTGTTCACAAAAACACCAACCCAAAAACACCATAGCCATAGTGGCTAACAGTATCAGACAGGACAAAACTTTACACAAAAGAACAAACCCCACAGCAGATGGCATAGCACAACTGATAGGACTGGTAGCTAACTCCACTTACTTCACGTACGATAACACAATATACAAACAACTTGAAGGCTTCGCCATGGGTAACCCGTTATCAGCCACCCTGTGCGAGTTTTTCATGGAAGACCTAGAAAACCCTCCACCTGCGCAGCGGCTGCAAACTCACTGATGCACCTGCAGCCTCTCTGAGTTCCTGCAGCTTTAAACATTAAAATAATTATTTCATTTTCTGTTCCTCACTTCTGATTTCCTTCAATGGTGTCTGTTTGTTGCAACCACCTGTTAAAAAAATGAACTTGTTTTTAGTTGACTATTTTTCTGTCCTGTCTGTTTATTATCTTCCCGCATCTCTTCTCAATCCTAAAGAAAATCTGCTACCTGGTTTCATATATATTCACCTTATGAGTTACCTTTGAACTGCAGTTCTAAAAGATCTACGGACTGCAAAAACATCAGTGTGCGCCGGCCGCACCGGTGAGATAAAATCAACGGAGGACAAAACAGGTGATGCACTCCGCTCCACAGCAGCGAAACGC